TTTATAGACCGAGGGCCCGTGAACCATGACGCGTGCGTATGCTGTAACATAGCGACTGTATCCTCTAAATACTGCAACTCCCCGTGGAGAAATTAACCGTTCCTGTTATTACCTTTGATGATGGATCCACGGCGGATTTCGAAATTTCAGGCGTCCTAGCGATCACATCTATGTCTTATTAACTACTTTCTGGGACTCGTATGTTCGCTTTTGATGGCACTAACCCTAATCTACCTATTAATCAGCATTAGGCCTTCAACACTGGGGGAAGGGGCTACCATTTCTGTGCCCTGCCATATAATTTAATCGACTAAATTGTCCTAAACTCGGCGTTCTATTAAACAGTGAATCTGGTGTATTTTGGATTTATTGCTTTGGAAAACCTGTAATGGCAGTCAGGATCTCGTATCGCACGTGGTGGATTGCGTGCACTGCAGTAAGTTAAACCCCTAACTCGATCCACATGTGAATAAACTCAAGGCACTACATTTGAACCCATTTTACAAGACTTCCATGTTCGTTTATCACATTTGTTCTACGAAAACATTGATACATTTCTCTGAGAAGCACCGCAGTCCTTCTTGAAATAATTTGTACTCGACTTTTGGTGAGGTAATAGCGATTTGGTGTTATTTTTCTGAATTACCGAACCTTTATCCGCCTCAAGTCATACTCGTTTCCATTGACACCAACCTCTTGGGATAACTCGGTTTCACAACCTTCTGTGTTCAGCTACTGGAATGTGTCAGCTGGATTGAGAAAGTCGATGCAGCTCTTGTATCACCGGAGAGACCGCAACTGGAAGAGCTCTGCGACCTGCAGTTACGCGGAGATTCGGTGGCCGCCGCAGTTGCCTACACCAGGAACGCTCTCACCCTAGGCGACAACGATTCGACCTCCGATCTACCAGCTAAACCGGCACTTTACAGCGAGTCCAAAAGCCCTGTTCATTCAGTGCTTGATGCAGCTCTGTCGAAAACTAGTGCCCGGCTTCTCCACGTCATTGGCCAGGCGCGGCTGCTTGAGGAAGCAGTCAAGAAGATCATTGATGCTAAGTGGGTCTTTGCTTATAACCTGCCAAGCATTGTCATTGTTATTTTGAGAGTGGAGTGTTTAACTAAGCATTGCTTTATCCATTTAGACCGGGAAGTTGTTCACTGAGCGACGCGGAAGCCCTCGTCATGCAAACCAACCAACTCAAGGCTTCCTTCAGTCTTTCCAAAGTTCTGAGCGATCTGTGCAATCAGGCCCACAAAGTGCTCACACACTTCCATTCTTTCGAACAGTTACTCCAACTTTCTTCTGAAAACACTACTCCATTATCAGGGTTTCCACCGGACTTTGTGCAGCAAACAAAACTCGGCACTGTTGATTCTACACCGCGTGCCTGGCTGGACTTCTTTGAAGAGGTCTGTGAGGCTGCCAACAAGTTGCCCTTCAAATTTCCCCCCGTTGACCACTTGAAACAGCTGGTAAGTGGTATTCGGTTCGGTGGGGACAGGTGTCGTGCAAGGGTCTTTTTGTTCTTGATGTGGATTGAAAAGTTGCGCTTTAGCAATGTCTTTACAGCCAATGATAAAAATCTTTCAAATATGATTATATTCTTCCTAAAAACACTAACGTTCACATCCGAGGAGTTTGTGAACAGTTGTTTTAAGAACTTTTTGGCGAGCTATGCTGGAAATAGCCTACATTAGGTGATGTTTTCACTACTATTTGCTTAACTGAACAAGACGTGTTTTGATCTAAAAAGAAAACAAGCGAGATTGACATCAAAAAGGCTACCTGTTGAGACGGGAATATGGAGCTAAAGGTAGGTTATCGTTATAGGACGATAGTCTCATTACCCATCAAATATCGTGCTAACGCTGGTGCATCTGATCGCTACCTAACAGAAATTAGAATATTATCACATACAATACTTTAACGCAGTGTCTGACCTTTGTGAAATAGTATCACACAGTATGTCATATTTTACTTACTTGCGCTCGGTACGGCTGCTCGAATGATAACCACTGGCTGTTCCCCTCTCCACTGGCTTGGGTCGTGAAACAAGTCTGCATTGCTGTGCCCAGGACCTCGGCGGCGCTGGTTTGTCGAAGTGTTGCGACGTCAAAGCGTTACGCACGTGGTATTTTGTGTGCAAATGCAAGGTGAACTTTAACGCGTATGCAAACGGTTTCCTGGCGGTTATAAATAGATGACACTAATTGCAGGAACGAGCATTTGAAAGATGCATTTGGAAACGGGAAAATCACGTTTCAGTAAAGCAAGCGTAACTGCAGGAAAAGAGTAGAGTGTAACAGAAGGAATATATGCACTTGCAAGGAACGTAAATGATGTACGTAATAAGTAGAGTTACGGATGTTGTTATTGTTCATAAGGCAGCACCAATGTTCAAGAGAGATGCTGCTTCACTTTTAATGAATGTCAAACAGTGCGGATCCGCGAATGGTAACAGTCGAAAAGACACTGAACTGCAGTCTTCTACGCGTATAATAATTTATTTCGAGTGTCTACTATCACAAAAACTTAATATTCGTTTTCATTAATACAGTTACAGCAATTAGCTAGAGTTTCTATTAAAATGTGTATGGGAGGGCTGTGTGAATGGACCTTTCTGGCTTAAAAAGCCGTTGG